TTACTCATTCAAGCGCGCTAGCATGGCGCCAGCGCGATGCAAAGACACACTCGCGTGGGAGCGGAGGATAAACTTGGATTTCATTTTCACTTCGATTCGTCAGGACTATTCCGTTCATTTCGCCCTTCGGTTGCAACTGTACGTGCGGCACGCTCAATCACAGAGAGAGAGAGAGAGAGAGAGAGAGAGAGAGAGAGAGAGAGAGAGAGAGAGAGAGAGAGAGAGAGAGAGAGAGAGAGAGAGAGAGAGAGAGAGCGGAGAGAAGGGCGGCGTCCTTGCTCGCGTTGAGATGCTACCCCCCGTCGAGTCGCACCGACGGCTGCCTCTCGAGTCACGATTAGACCCAAGGACAAACAACGCAATTATGTTTCGCTTAATTGCTTATTTTTGCAGTGCACGCTGCTGTCCATATTGGCGTGGACGAGCCGGGTGTGCTTCCCTTTCTAGCAGCCGCACAGTGGGCCAGAAGACCGGTGGAGGCGGTCAAAGTCCCGGGCGCGTTTTGAGCTCCAGAGTCGCTAAATGGGACTCGAACAGAACGTGTGACCCCACCAATGGATTGCTCTCCGAACAAGGAATCCATTGGTGGGGTCACACGTTCGGTTCGAGTCCCTCGGGTCGCACACAGTCGTACAGTGTCACCGCAAGCCGCTGCGGTCACACAGCCAGGCAGTCACACGGCGCATCCTCGCCACCACCACCGTCATCCACCTGTCGGTGGAACCGCGAACCCCCGGGAAAGGAGAAAACACGAAGCGGAGACAGTGGAATCGCGGTTCGGGCCAAGACTGCGTTCTATACTCGGCTCATCGCGCTCCCTTGACGAGGGGCTCTCCGAGGTCCTTCCCTTTGCACGGCCTGGCTAGGGTATGTGCGGCTGGCTGGCTTGGTCTGCGAGCGAGCAGTGTCGCCGCCAACATGGTGAAAACCTGACCGTTTGCATTTTGCAATGATTCTGCTCGGGGCGGGGCGCGTGGCAGACCGACGGACTGAGGCCGCCGTTCGGGGCGTTGGCGGCGTCCTCGCGGGCCTGGCTCGGCGTCGGGACTCCTAAATCCCGGCCTTCTTGTCCTGATTGCCATCGTGCGGGATACCAAGGCGCAGCCACGGCGCAGCCACGGCGGCCCCCAAACAATCACGTCTCGGCGGCCGGGCCACGGCCGGGCGGACGGGCCATCTTCCTGACTTGACTCCTGACCTGCGGACGCCCCGCCCCAAGGATCTTTACAAAACACAACAGGTTCCCTTCCCGTCCTTATCCCCAAAACAGGCGCAAAACGGCCTGCAGCATCCAGGGCCATCCTCTCTCTCTCTCTCCCGCTCTCTCTCTCTCTCTCTCTCTCTTCTCTCTCTCTCACACACACACACACACACACACACACACACACACACACACACACGCGCGCCGACAGGTACGGATGGGGTTGGCCGTGAACCCAGGGCACCCGGCCCGCTCGACCCGAGTCATCAGCGACGCCTCGGCGATGATGGCGCTGAGGCACTGTGAAGCTAATTGCGAACCGGCGCTGCGTTCGTCGTCTCTCTCTCTCTCTCTCTCTCTAGCTTCCATCGGTGGACGGGGTTTGACAGGGTTGCCAACTCCACAGGCGGAACCCTTGCCCAGGCACGCTGTTTCAGGCTCGCCCAGGCACGCTGTTTCAGGCTGGCACAGCCACGCTGGTCCAGGCTGGCACAGCCACGCCGTTTCAGGCTCGCCCAGGCACGCTGGTCCAGGCTGGCACAGCCACGCTGTTTCAGGCTGGCACAGCCACGCTGTTTCAGGCTGGCACAGCCACGCTGTTTCAGGCTGGCACAGCCACGCTGTTTCAGGCTGGCACAGCCACGCTGTTTCAGGCTGGCACAGCCACGCTGTTTCAGGCTGGCACAGCCACGCTGTTTCAGGCTGGCACAGCCACGCTGTTTCAGGCTGGCACAGCCACGCTGTTTCAGGCTGGCACAGCCACGCTGTTTCAGGCTGGCACAGCCACGCTGTTTCAGGCTGGCACAGCCACGCTGTTTCAGGCTGGCACAGCCACGCTGTTTCAGGCTGGCACAGCCACGCTGTTTCAGGCTGGCACAGCCACGCTGTTTCAGGCTGGCACAGCCACGCTGTTTCAGGCTGGCACAGCCACGCTGTTTCAGGCTGGCACAGCCACGCTGTTTCAGGCTGGCACAGCCACGCTGTTTCAGGCTGGCACAGCCACGCTGTTTCAGGCTGGCACAGCCACGCTGTTTCAGGCTGGCACAGCCACGCTGTTTCAGGCTGGCACAGCCACGCTGTTTCAGGCTGGCACAGCCACGCTGTTTCAGGCTGGCACAGCCACGCTGTTTCAGGCTGGCACAGCCACGCTGTTTCAGGCTGGCACAGCCACGCTGTTTCAGGCTGGCACAGCCACGCTGTTTCAGGCTGGCACAGCCACGCTGTTTCAGGCTGGCACAGCCACGCTGTTTCAGGCTGGCACAGCCACGCTGTTTCAGGCTGGCACAGCCACGCTGTTTCAGGCTCGCCCCGGCACGATGGTCCAGTGTCGTCCAGGCACCTTGGTCCAGGCTCGCACTGCCGCTCGCCCGGCCGGCCTAGGGCGGCCCCGGATCCCTCGCGGTGGGTGTGGGCAGGTGTGGGACACGGTGGGACGCCGGCGACGCCCAGGAAAATGAGACGTTTTTGCCGGTTGTTATGCGTTTCTTTTTGTTTTCGGCGTTGTTGGCCGGACCGTGCCTTTCTCTCGCCGCACGCACGCCAAGCCAAGCCCCGCCAGCGGCCGTCGCTTTGCGGCTGCCCGGCTCACTGTGGGCCAGAAGACGGCGGAGGAGGCGGCCAAAACTCTAGACGCGTTTTGAGCTCCAGAGTCGCTAAGCAGGACTCGAAACGAACGTGTGACCCCACCAATGGATTGCTCTCCGAACGAGCAATCCATTGGTGGGGTCACTCGTTCGGTTCGAGTCCCATTCAGCGACTCTGGAGCTCAAAACGCGTCTTTGGCCGCCTCCACCGTTCTTCTGGCCCACTTGGCCGGGCTGCCCGGAAAGGCTGGCTGCTCGGCAGGCTTCTGCCCGCCAATCCCTGAGACAAAACGAAGTGGGGCGCCAAGCAGCTCGCGCAGCACGCGCCTCATGTCTAGCCGGAGAAAACGGCCGCTTTTATCAGTTTCCAGCGCAGCGCCGTCAAAACGCAAACCTTCGTTTCACTCGCTTGCCCGACTTGAAAGGCGGTGGTTTGAACCCCGGTTTTTATTTTTTGCCTCCGGGTATTTATAGCGACCCACACATCGAGTTGGCGATTTCGTGACTGATTCGAGGCGGCTCGGTGAGTCATGCGACAGCATGCGAGCGAGAGACAAAGAGAGACAGACAGACAGAGAGGTCGTCCACATGCTGGGCGCGTGTGGCCGGAGGGAAGTTTGCGGGGATTTCCCCTGCACTGGAAAACCGCAAGCCGAACGCGCGTGAGGGCCGCGGCCCTCTGTGGCGGCGTAACCGTGGTGGCCAACCCTGGTACGGCCCACGCCTTGTCGCGTCGCGCCGTGTGCATTCATTAGCGGCCTTTGTCGAATACTTTGCCTGTATACCACACTGTATGGTAATGGCGGCAGCGACAAGGCAAGCTGTCTGTCCGGGACTGTCCTCCGCAGCAATTCAGTATCATTACCACCGCCATTCATGATGCAAGAAAAAGCAAAGCAAAACAAAAAGTCTAAATGATAATTTTTTAACAACGAGGTGCTACTTCCTCGTGGGTGCAGACGCCGAAGCTACTACCCCGTTGCACCGGCTCACTGCATAAAAGCATTGCAGTCTGCACTCCTGCCAGTTTATTTCCATGGTGCGCGCCGTGCGAGCAGTGTTTTCCCGCGTTTGATTTAAACTTTCGAAACGGGCCGTGCCTGGCCGCGCCTCGCTACACCGTGCTACTGGGCAGCGCGGCGCGGCATGGGCGCTGCCAGGATCAAGATCAAGATCATGCGAACGGCGTTGTCATTAGCATGTGGCGAGGCGAGCGTTGCTCAGGGAAAGCAAAGCACTTGCAGCGTGGCAGCCTCGAGGCCAGCCTGGTACCGCCACTTGGCGCCACCAAAACGGGGCCCGCACAGTGGGCCAGAAGACCGCTGGAGGCGGCCAAAACTCCAGACGCGTTTTGAGCTCCAGAGTCGCTAAATGGGACTCGAACCGAGCGTGTGACCCCACCAATGGATGGCTCTCCGAACGAGGAATCCATTGGTGTGGTCACACGTTCGTGCTCGTTTTTGGGTGCATATTCGCTTTGGCGCTTTCCGCGTGACGCAACGGGGCGCTGGGAATGTGAACGTGAATGTGTGTTTTGTTATATAAGGCTCGGAGGCGGCCCGCCCCTCTGTCATATGCGCCAACCTGGCCAACCTGAGCAAGCGATGACCGAACAAGAACAAGCCGGGCCGGGCGGGGCCGGGCGTGCGGTCCAACCTGCTAACTGAGACGGCACCGCCCAGGCCGAGGCTGCCCAGCCCAGCACCGCCCAGGACCGCCCAGCACCGCCCCGGGCAGCCACTCATTTCGAACCGTCGCTTTCTAACTGGTAACTGTTACAATTGGCCGCAAAACTGGATCCGATGATGAGATTTCGAAAGGGAAGGCAGAAAGACAGGGAGAAGGGGATCGGAAAGGGCGGAAGAGAGGCGAGTAAAAGTCGCTTCAATCATTGCCGGCCTCATGAACGAGCCTCGCCGCCGAGCCTCGGAGAGTCGGAGGCAGAGCGACGCATGCGACATGAAGCGAAAGCGGCAAGCACGCCGCTCCCATGGACCATTGCAATTAGCAGGCTGCCCTGCCTGCCCCTGCGAGGCAGGCCGCCCAACGTGCTCGCAACGAGGGCATTGCCCCTCCACTGCAAGCCTCCACCTCCAGCAGCGCCGTGTGCGTTGGGCTGCCTACCCGACAGGCTGACGCACGAACTTTCTTTCGCGCCAATTTGAATTTCGCGCGCTTCCGCGAGGGGCGCCACTGTCGCACACCCTTCGACCAATCGGAGCCCGTCTGGGTCACCGGGTTTGTGTTACACAAAATTTAACCTTCCCTTCTGCTACAGGAAAAAAAAAATACAGTAAATGATTCCGTTTCGGGAGGCGTAATGTCAGGTGTGATTAAGTTTTTCAAGTCGCTGGTCTCGTCGGTAAGCGCTATGTCCATCGTCCTCTAGGGACATGGAACTCTGCCCAATCCTTTATTTCCCCTACTAAACATTCTATCAAAACAAGTCCTTTTAAAGATTTTTGTTGACTTATCATTTACTTTTAAATGTCAACAGCAACATATTAAATATGTATTCCTCGTGCTGTTTAATGTTTTGCTCAATATTCTCTGCTTCAAATACATATCATGTCAGCAAGACTTTTGTCTTTATTGGTTAGGTTGAATTGTAATTGTAATTCAAATGCACTCAAATGTCACCTGATGTCCCATAGCTTGGGTAGTGAGTTAGAGACACTGTGCATCCGACTTTACAATGGCAATTTATTATCTCCAAAATTCAGTTAACAATAAAATAATTAAAAAAGCTCATGAAAAATAGATATTTTTTAAAAAAATACACATAGCACATTTTCTGTCAGTGAGGAGAATACGCATCAAATTTATATACCACTATTCTTCCAAAGAAGTCTGTGCTTTTATTAAAAGCAACAGTAAATTTCTTGGCTTTCACAATTGGGTTGATGTCAAAAGTTTGTACTGAATTTATATCTTCTGGGTAGAAGGCTACATCTATATTTTTCTCTCCACTCTCAGTAACAGAGGATAACCAACAGTCTTGGCCCACAAATCCCCCTTGAAACTGAATACTTATTTTGCTGATTTCCTCTTCTTTATCGAGCAGAACGGAAATGTACTGAGGAGTTCCCTTGGTTAAAAGGCGAAGACGAATTGAGTGATTTAAACAGACATAATAGTGCGAAAATCATTTTACAGAAACATTCTTGTCTTATTTACCTGGTCTGAGTTCCAGCAAGTTTCATCACTTCCATCGAACATATTTTTCTTTCCAAACTGCTTGACATCTTTGTTGAGAACAGAACTCACCCTGTAAAAATTTAAAAAAAGAAAATTGTGTTACATGTTAAATTTTTAAGAATGTTCAGACCACTTTAATGTCCCGTTGTAGGAGCCAGCGGCAACAGGTTTGGCAGCTAAGGCTTCTGAATTATCTTCTCGAACTGCATCTGCGGAATCAACACCAGTCCACCCCACTCCCTCCACACCGGCATCTGCACCCTCACCACCAGCTCATGTTCAAGTAAGTTTCATTACTATCAATTCAAAAATTAGTAAACAAGAGTAACTTTTATTTTATTTTAAACCTGTATTTTAAATCACTCATTGACAGCAGCATAGATTGACACATGTAGCTGCACTATACCATACCAGACAAAATAAATAGTACATTGAAATACTTTTTACTTACTTGCATTCAAAATTTCCCTTAAAGATTGATGTCATTTTGTGATGTGATAAACATTTGTGAGTAAACTATTGAAAAGTTTCCCACAGCACCAGGGAATCCTAACCTCTACTCTCTAGACAGTGTGGCCAACCCAAGGTCGTTGCCTCCACGGTCACGGTAGTGACTTTCGGTCCGCTCAGTTGGCGTGCGAGGGCAGCAGAACATCTGATACAATGTCGCTCGCTAGGTTATATTTCTGCAACTCTTTGCCAAGAATCAGTATTTCGAAGGAGCCGGGCACGGTCTTATTTTACAGTATTCAGGTACAATGTCACTATTTTTTTTTCATCCAATATCATGTCTTGCCATGTATTCGCCACACCTGTTCCACAGACAGGAACACTAACCAATCTATTTGTTTTCTATTTTTGACTCCCTTAACTTTATCTTTGATATTTGAATCATTTTATATGGTAAATGAATGTGGGTTTTAACTCGTTATATTGCTTTTACAATGCCTGCCATCCTCTACGGTGTTGTGTCAGTTTCTCTCATTCATTTACTTGATACCTCAGTAGAAACAAATCTGGGTGTATCAATGAAAAGAGTAATTAATTTAATGTTTGTCTAACAGGCTGTCAAACCACACGTCCCACTTATCAAATTTCGAAAAGGCGGTCCTGCTGGTGGTGAGTACCTATCTTAAATTAACAGCGGCCCATATGTAGTCTCATCATCGTGTAAATGACAACGATATTTGTCACTCACAGGTCATTCGGCAACTAGTGGAGTAGCTTCATCAGGTGGAGTAGGTAGCAGTCATGCGGTCTCTCGTGGAACCATTGAAGACTACCAATTACCTGCTAGGTACCAACGCTCCCCTCTTGATGAAGCAGAAATAGATTATATCAATGTATGTATCCTTCTGTTAGCTTTATCCTTGCATTCAAGGACTTGGTTAACTGTTCTATGTTTTCTAAATTATACATTTATTTAAATTTCAGAGAGGAGGACCAAACTGAAGACAAGAAGTAATGTAGTATCCAAACGAACTGGCTTACTTTGAGGTGCTGGACTTTCCGTATGGAAACGATGGTTTCAAGATGTTGAAGACCCTTAGTGTTCTTTCTCCTTATGTGTTGCAAAACTGTGATGCGACAGTTTCTTGTCAGCTTATTTAGCACTGTACATAAATAAATTAATCTAAACCTCAGCACCTGTTTTTGAGTATTTATTTTAAACATTTTGTTGAATGGCTCATTGTGATTTTTGTTTAAGCTGTAAAATAAAGACACAATAAGATTGTAAGCATTTCATTTTCTAATTCCCCGGTTAAGATTAATGCAGTTTTTGCTACAAAAAAAGTAAATATGGCTTAAAAGAGTGGCAATGATTTTTAGCACCTGGTGGGAGGGTGGAGTCAAATGAAAGGAGCAATTAGTAATTTTCGCCGTCTTTACAACCCAAATAAAAAGGCCAGGGGCAAAATAGAGGGTCTGCAGTGAGGAATGTTGTGCTGGGACACACTGCAGTGGCCCGAGCCTGGGCGCGTCAGCCCAGCCAGGCCCAGCCACTAGCCACGCTGTCAGAAACAATTCCGGCGAGAGAAATGGAAAACAGCAAACAGCCCGTTCCGTTTTCCTCTTGCCTGTTCCCCGTTCGCTCTCCAGGGCATCGTTCCCCGCTCCCTGCCGTGCTGCGCCGGCCCCGGGCCTCTACCCCGGCCTGGCTGCCAGTCGGCCGGCGCACGATGGGTTGCCTACCGCGCGGGCGGACGTCGCCAAGGCGACGCGCTAGAGAACTTGAAGAGCAAAGGCTGTTGGTGCGAGTCCCAGCCCAGCGCCCCGCCGTGGCCCCGCCCTATGTTTTTCATGAATATGAAGATGAAGCCGTGGCCGCGTCGTTCTTTCCTCCTTCCCCGCGGGCCGTGCCAGAGCACAGTGGGCCAGAAGACCGGTGGAGGTGGCCGAAATCCCAGACGCGATTTGATCTCCAGAGTCGCTAAATGGGACTCGAACCGAACGTGTGACCCCACCAATGGATTGCTCTCCGAACGAGGAATCCATTGGTGGGGTCACACGTTCGGTTCGAGTCCTGTTTAGTGACTCTGGAGCTCAAAACGCGTCTAGAGTTTTGGCCGCCCCCACCGGTCTTGTGGCCCACTTACGCAGTGTGCCGCCCACCCCCTTGCCGCGACGCTACCCCAGGCGACAGCCCTCACGGCGTGGAGTATCGCCATCGGCCGCATGGCTGCCGCCCCGTCTCAATCTCTCTCTCCGTCTCCCTCTCTCTCTCTTTCTCTCCGCCTCCGGCAACGTGCGGCGTGCGGCGTCTCCTCACTTCCGATCTGGACATCATCACTTCTACTTCCGGTGGTGCGGCCGAGATCCATCCTGCCGGGCTGCAGGGCTGCCGCCGTCCCTTCCAGGGACTTAAATAATAATAATGCGCGCCCTAGGCGGGGCCAGGCGGGGCCGAGGCGGGCCCTAGGCAGGGCGCGGCCCTTGGGAGGGCTGGCTAGGGCTGGGCTGCACATTCCTTTCGCTACATTTAACTGCCCCGCCACGTCCCTCGCTGGGGACTGGGAGGACTGGGGCCCGACGCTGGCGCTGCGGCGCTGCGGCGGCGGCTTGCGAAGCTCTGCCAACCCCTTAATCGTACATCCGACTAGCCGGCTATCCGGCCCAGCCGAGGAGGCACGCAGTACTGTGGCTGCTGGCAGTTCGTGGCGGGGCCTGATGCAGCGTGGAGTATCCCAAACGTCAGTCTGCCTCGCCGAGACACCCCTCACAGTGGATTTGCCACAAGACCGGTGGAGGCGGCCAAAACTCCAGACGCGTGCAGAGCTCCAGAGTCGCATAACAGGACTCGAACAGAACGTGTGACCCCACCAATGGATTCCTCGTTCGAAGAGCAATCCATTGGTGGGGTCACACGTTCGGTTCGAGGCCCATTTAGCGACTCTGAAGCTCAAAACGCGTCCGGGATTTTGACCGCCTCCGCCGCTTGTCTTCTGGCCCACTGTGCCCTTGCCCTTGAGTGCGAGTCCGCTGCTCTGTCTGCTGGCGTTGCTCTGTCTCTGTCGCACTCATGGGGCGTCCCGCCGGGATGCGAGAGAGACAGACCCTCTTCGGCCCCGCTCAGCGGGCGAGGATTGGGCGGGGACGGCGAGGGTCGGAGGGAGGCCTCATCTCGGCTGAATACACTCCAATTCTCCAGTAAGAATGCTAGTGGTAATCCGAACGCCTGGACTAAGTAGGCGACTCCTTAATTAAGCCAAGTCGGAGTGCGAGGAAGAGAGAGAGAGAGAGAGAGAGAGAGAGAGAGAGAGAGAGAGAGAGAGAGAGAGAGAGAGAGAGAGAGAGAGAGAGAGAGAGAGAGAGACCTACCCCAAGGCCGCGGAGCGGCGCTAGCTTCTTGAGGCAACTTGGAGTTTCTCGCTCCGGAAGCACGCCCCTGCTTCGCCTGCCTGCCTTGGAATACGGCGAAGCAGGCGAAGCAGCGTAGCAATGCCTCGGCGTCCCTATCACAGACGGACGTGTAGTCAGAGAGACAGACGCAACGAACCCACTCCGTGCCACTCCGTGCCACTCCGTGCCTTGACAGAGCCAAAAGGCGCCACCGAGTCGTGTTTCTGCGGCCTGTGAAAATGGCAGGCAGGGTGTCAGACGGACGGACAGACAGGCAGGCAGACAGACAGACAGGCAGACAGGGGGCGCTATGAAGCATGGCGAGGAAGCGTCAGAAACCACATCCACGCGAATGCCCTCGCAAGATAAGCCTCGTCTACTATTTGTCGCGTCCGTCTGTCTGCCTGTCTGCCCGTCTGTCTGTCTGTCTGTCTGTCTGTCTGTCTGTCTGTCTGTCTGTCTGTCTGTCTGTCTGCCTGTCTGTCTGTCTGTCTGTCTGTCTGTCTGTCTGTCTGTCTGTCTGCCTGCCTGTCTGTCTGTCTGTCCGTCTGTCTGTCTGCCTGCCCGTCTGTCTGTCTGTCTGTCTGTCTGCCTGCCTGTCTGTCTGTCTGTCCGTCTGTCTGTCTGTCTGTCTGTCTGTCTGCCTGTCTGTCTGTCTGCCTGTCCCTCTCGTGCAGTAATTAATTAGTTGGCGCACGTGTGCGGTATTCAAAAGCGACTTCCTGACCGCGCATTCAAAGCCCCGGACCAATAATGGCGCTACTCCCCGCGAGAGGGACTTTGAATGGACCCCATGGGCAACGCCCGGCAACGCCCCTGGCGCGCGGGGTATCGCCAACGCCATCGCCTGCACTGGAGTGCCGACACGCCACCTGCTTCGAAAGCACCCGCCTCACAGTGGGCCAGATGGACCGTGAGTGCGAGGGAGACGGAGTGTTGCTGTTCGCAACGGCACTGCTGCTGCTCCTTTGAACTCTCGCTCACCGCCGCGCTGAATAAGACATGGCGAGGCGGTGATCCCGGCGGTGGCGAAGCAGTGACCCATCCACTGCAGGTGGTGCACGCCGGAGCAGGTGGCGCAGTTCATCGCGTCGCACAGTGGGCCAGAAGACCGGTGCAGGCGGCAAAAACTCGAGGCACGTTTTGAGCTCCAGAGTCGCTAAACAGGACTCGAACCGAACGAGTGACCCCACCAATGGATTCCTCGTTCGGAGAGCAATCCAATGGTGGGGTCACACGCTGGGTTCGAGTCCCATTTAGCGACTCTGGAACTCAAAACGCGTCTAGAGTTTTGGCCTCATCCCAAAGATCGTCAACGGGTGGATCGCGATGGATCGTGCTCGCGAACGTCGGTTCGGGTCGGTTCCGAACCAAACCGAAGCGTCGGTTTTGGCCCAAACCGTTGACCAGCTTCGAGTCCCGGCGGCGCTATAATTTTTTTTCGCGATTTCAAAGCTGCAACCGCAACTAACATTTCACGGCACATATAAATACCGTGGATATTCTTTTCCAAGAACCTGAAAGGTACCAGAGACCGACAAAAATGCAGGCTTCTGCCGGGATTCGAAGCTGGGCCAGTGGCCGGCCGGGCCAACGCCCGCCAGGGCTTGGCTCGGGACCGACCCGGACCGACGTTGGCGAGCACGATCCAACGCGATCCACCCGTTGACGATCTTTGCCTCATCCACCGGTCTTCTGGCCCACTGTGCGTCGGAGTTTTAGTTTTGTGTTTGTTGACAGCGTCCCAGCCGACCTAGCCAACCTGCTGCTGCATGGAAAGGCATCGGAAAGGCGGCCGCCTGTTCAAACGAAGGCAGTACGCCGTAAAGGGCGGGTACTTTGTGGGGCGGCGGTAACGACGGGGTGGGCCGCGACACTGCTGGCACTGCACTGGTATTGCCGTGCCGTTTGCAGTGGCGTAGCGGGGCGGGGAGGTTTGTTGCGCAATACGGCGGCCCCACGTACGGCACTACGACCCCAGGTAGAGGGCGCACAGTGGGCCAGAAGACCGGTGGTGCCGGCCAAAACTCTAGACGCGTTTTGAGCGCCAAAGTCGCTAAATGGGACTCGAAACGAACGTGTGACCCCACCAATGGATTGCTCTCCGAACGAGGAGTCCATTGGTGGGGTCACACGCGGGGCTGTTCATTAGACCTACCTCACAGTTGACCTACCAATATATTTATTAATAAAAATATTAATATAAATATTTGAATAAAAATATGGGACTATAAATAATAGTGTTATAAATATTAACAAAAAAGGTTGACCTACCCCACAGTTGACCTACCCTATATTTTTATTATAAATTTTTTTGAAGTATCGTCTACTGTCACTGGGACACTGTCACGCTTCACCTGCCGCGACGTCATCGCGCTTTCCCTGCCGCGACACTGTCGCTCTTCCCCTGCCGCGACACTGTCGCGCTTCCCCTGCCGCGACACTGTCGCGCTTTCCCCTGCCGCGACACTGTCGCGCTTCCCCTGCCGCGAGGCCGTCGCGCTTCCCCTGCCGCACCACTGTCGCGCTTCCCCTGCCGCGAGGCCGTCGCGCTTCCCCTGCCGCGACACTGTCGCGCTTCCCCTGCCGCGACACTGTCGCGCTTCCCCTGCCGCGCTTCCCCTGCCGCGAGGCCGTCGCACTTCCCCTGCCGCGACACTGTCGCGCTTCCCCTGCCGCGACACCGTCGCGCTTCCCCTGCCGCGACACTGTCGCGCTTCCCCTGCCGCCAGGCCGTCGCGCTTCCACTGCCGCGACACTGTCGCGCTTCCCCTGCCGCGCGGCCGTCGCGCTTCCCCTGCCG